CTCAAATATGCAATTGGTTTTTAAATCCGACCTTTAATTGAGGTCCAAATCTCTAAAATTCGAAAATCCTAATTTCTACCCAATAACACCCAATTTCCCATGAAAAACCCTAGATTTTGAAGTGAAATCATGTAAAAAGATGAAATAGATTGAAGAAAAAGAGTTAAGATTCATTTACCTATGATTTGGGGAAGAACTTGCTCAAGGAAAATCGCCCTTTGGAGTTTAGGTTTTAAAATTTTGAAGAATGAAGTGAAAATCCCGTCTAAAATCTCACCTAACAGGCTGCAGTTATCGCAATTGCGATCAGGGGTTCGCAATTGCGAACCCTTTGAATTTACTGCTGCCTTCGCATTTGCGACTTCGGGGGCCTTCGCAATTCCGGCCAAAGTTTCACATTTGCGAGGTTGGCCTTCCCAAGCCTTCTTCGCATTTGCGACAATATTGTCGCATTTCCCAGGCCGGCAGACTTCGCATTTGCGAAGCCTGATCTCGCAATTGCAAGATCTGAGGCCTGTGCAAAACACCAGATGGACAGCTAAGTTTTCTTAAGTTCTAATCACTCCGTGGCCTATCCAAAACTCACCCGAGCCTTCGGAGCTCCAAACCAAACATGTACGCAAGTCTAAAAACATCATATGGACTTGCTCGTGCGATCAAATCATCAAAACAACATCAAAAACTACGAATTTAACCTCAAACTCATGATTTTCCTCAAGAACACTTTAAATTTACTATTTCACAACCGGACGTCCGAATCACGTCAAATCAACTCTGATTTTTACCCAATTTCGCAGATAGAACTTAAATATCATAACAAACTTGTACCGGGCTGCGGAACCAAAATACAGGCCCGATACCAACGAGTTCAAATATTAATTCATTTCTTTATTTCCTTTAAAAACCAGCAAAAATATTTTCTTCAAAAATTGATTTCTAAAGCTAGGGACCTCGGAATTTGATTCGGGGCATACGCCCAAGTCTCATATTTTTTACGGACCCTCCAAGGCCGTCGGAACACGGGTCCGGTTCCGTTTACCCAAAATATTGACCGAAGTCAACTAAAATCATATTTTTAAGCCAAAAATCATTATTTCTTAAATTTTCACACAAAAGCTTTCCGGTGTCGCGCCCCGACTACGCACGCAAATCGAGGAGAGATAAAAGGAGGTTTTCAACGCCTCAGAACACAGAAACGGATTCTAAAGAAAAGATGACCTTTTGGGTCATCACATATTTTCACTAATAATAAATATAATTATTTATATTTTATATATGATTAATTTTGGGGCCTTAGGGTTGGGCCGCCCGTGCCGCTATTAAAGAATATATGCTTTAAAGTGAACTTGAAAAGTGAAATACATATGAGAATAATTTTGAATCTTTGGTGGCCAAAATGAGCTAATTGCGTCTAAACCAAATTCTTTTCTGTAACCTTTGTTTATATTGATAAAAGAGCTACAACAAACTCTACTGACAGTAACAAGAAGATATTGAAGAGTTACGGAAAGAGGCAGATCTAGCATTTTTATAATATGGGTGCACCAATAAAAAAGGAAAAAAATAAAAATATTAAGTGGGAATTGATCCCTATTCTTCTAGGTAAATAACTTAGCATTCAAACAAGTGCACCATTTAGCTTTTTTGGAATATGGGTATCAGTAGGTAATATTTGATCAATTCTAAAAATTATGTACATAAAATACCTAGTTTGGCGGAGAGACTATGGGTTCACATACCCCGTACACTAGGCTATAGATCCACCCCTGGTTATGGAGGGAGGTCTCTTAAGCTATCCATATTTATTAAGGACGTTGCAATTCATTTATTTTTCCTTTTACCAAGCACCTCAGATCTTTTCATCATATTTTTTAATAAATATTACATGTTGTAGTCAGTTTTGCAAGACTAACTAACAACGGGTTCCAATTTTCATCCTTTGAACTTTCATATAAGGAATAAAAAGAATTGAGATTCTGATACCAACACATTTACTTCCATTGTTTTCAAAACCCGTCGTGCTCTACCTTCGGAACATCTGTGAATCCCTACTACTTGTTGTGTACGGTCGAAATCAGGTATGCTCAATTCCATGGGCTCGAGGGTCACTTAGAGAACAAGTTCAAAATGGACCAGACGCGAGCCCGATGGTGAAGTACAAAGATTCAAAGATCAGAGTGCTCGATGAACACCGAGGCCACGTGCGACCGACCTCGAGATAATACCGTTATGGTTTCATAACGAAAAGAGCGAGATTCCCGCCTAAGATCACGGCGTAAATTCCGGAACGGATTTGTACCTTATTTAGGATTCCCCTACTATATAAAGGGGACCCAATCATTTGTAACGTATCATCATTGAGAAGAGAATATACATATTTCACTTTCTTGCTTACTATTCATCTGACTTGCCTTATTATTTTATTGTTCTTATCCACCTACCTCGAGGTCACCATTGCTCGAGGTCGTGGTCAGCTTATACGTTGGTTTGACTTACATTA